CGATATCTCTGTAAACTAATATTTCTGTTGTCGCAACTGAAAATATTCGTATGAACATTCAATGATATTAGAACCCGGTTGAGGCAACTGAGAATAATTGACTATAGAAGCCTCATAAAGAAAATTTTCTGTTCCTATAGCCGAGTTTTTGTTTGATCCCTGAGCAACCAAAAATTTGGTTACACCAACAGAATTATTTTTTCGATGTATATATTTATTGCGTGTAGATAAAACCGGTCGCCAATGAACAAGGATAATCTCTCGGCTCTTTCGATTATCGAAAGAAATCGCGGCATCACTCCTCCTCGCTCAGACTCGTGAAATCTCAGCGAACCTATCGTGCAAATTTTCGGGCTGTTGTATAATTTTGACGATCGTTTCGCAAATATTCCTGCTCGGCCTGACAACGATGGCGCGCAGTTCAATAGGTTTACGACGCCGTATATTGAGAGAAAAATATTTAAGAAATAAAAAATATTTATTTGGTAGGGACTAATAATATATTTACCTATACATATTTTTAATAAAACTAATAATATACATATTTTTTACATTGAGAAAAATATTTTTTAAGCAAGAAAAAAAACATAATGAATTTTAATACTAAAATTTTCTTAGAACCTAATGTTTTTATTAAAGTAATTGTTCTTTCTATTTAAATAAAAAAAATTAGATTTAAGTAAATATGTTATTAGATTAGTAAATATGTTATTACTGCCCACTAAAATATTATCAATTTTTTAGATATTTTTCCTCTCAGTATACACGGAGAAAAAAGTTTAGTTCAATTAACCTGACAGTGAACGAATCGTCTTGATTGAAGGAAATACAATTTCTAGTTCTTATAAATTGAACGCTAAGGATAGGAAATTCTGTTTTCTTCAAGACGCGTTTGAATCATTATCAGGTTAATTCGACCAAACTTTCCTCCGCGCATAACTAATGTTTTGGTAAGAACAGAATTTCTTTTTTCCGAAATAAATTTGCATTAATTCATAAGTATGACGAATAAATTTTTTTTCCAAAATTGGAATAATTTTCCAAAATACGAATAATTTTCAGCAAAAGTATTTGAATCGTATATGGATGATATTCGAGGAAGAAAAATCGCGTGATGTACATATAAATAATATGTACGCGCACGAAAATAATATGACGAAATTTTCCATACGTGCGCAAAATAAAACCGACCGCCAATTAACAAGGATAATCTCTCGGCTCTTTCGATTATCGAAAGAAATCGCAGCATCATTCCTCCTCGCTCAGACTCGTGAAATCTCAGCGAACCTGTCGGGCAAATTTTCGGGCTGTTGTATAATTTTGACGATCGTTTCGCAGATATTCCTGCTCGGCCTGACAACGATGGCGTGCGCGCAGTTCAATAGGTTTACGACCCCGTATCCACAGCCAACGCAATACTACAATCCCAACTACTACGGTCGGCCTTATTACGCCATACTGCGACAAACGCAAGACTCCTCGCCGGACGGATCGTATTCCTACAGGTGAGATCGTCCTTCCGTCTCGTCCTGGAACGCGCCGGCAATAAGCGTAGTGTCGAGGCGTTCGTACGTTTCCCCGCGGTGGGATCTCGACACGCTTGAGGGATCGCGGTTGCCCTCGAGAAGTATGAAAACACTCGGCTCGCGCCATTCGGTCGATGTAATCGCAAAGTTAACACGCTCGGCGTGATCGCCGCTCTTTCTCCCCTCCCGCCGTTGTCTCGCGTCTTCTTCGGCGGGAATGAGAGGCGATTAATAGGAGGAAATGCACCGCAGTTAATGGAAGTCGGAAACGCACGAAACTGATGACAGTTGCACGAAAATGCCGCGCGCAAAATCCTCGCAAAATCGTCTTCTCTTACGGACGGAATCGCTGATCAATCGAGAAACCGTGAGAAATCAGACAAGGATCCCATTTTGAAAAATATAATCGCCTTTGAATCTTTGATTTTATCTCATGGAACATCCTATTGCTCCTACTTCAAGTTAACTAATAAAATTGATTGTATTAACTGAGGTTTTGAGATAAACTAATTAATTAGCTATAGTTATGCAAGAATGAACCAACAAAATTAGGTTTTTTGCCTTTTTGTTTTTATCAATGAATAATCTGTGTGTCTTTCTACATAGAACAAAAAAGAGTCAAGTCTTATAAGTGCCTAAAATTAATTAAAAGACTTTATTTTCTAGCAGTTTACGCCATTTTTCACAAGTTGCAAAATTTTTAAAGAATTAAGTTTCTCGATGGATACTCTTAAAGAGAAGAAAATTACACGCGCTTGGCTTCTTGAACGATTGCGAGGAATCTTAGTACTATCTACACTTTTCAAATCATGTATCAAATTCTCATCTTTATTTTTTCCAAAACGTACTCCATCCAGTTGGATCATTACTGCGTAACTATAGCAACCAATTTTTCAAGACAAAATTTTAGAATGCAAGTTTGTTTATTTCTTGATCAGGCTCGATTTAGAATTAACATTTCCTTAAAAAAATCATCGGGAGATCAACAGTTCAAATCACAAATTGTTGAAAGTGTAAGCATCTCGCGAGTTAAATTTAAATACGGTAAATGACTAAACCGTATTTCCGGAAACACATTACGCGAAGGATGACGTACAATTGATCAAGAAGAGTGATCGCGATATAATCGCCCGAAGAGATGTGGGATGAGTTGAATCAGTCATCGATGCAATGTGAGTCCATATAAGTGTTGTTCAGGCGCGATTTTTCGATCCCGACAGTGTCGACATCTTTTAGCCGGAGCCAAAAAAGGAGATCGAACGTCACAATTATATCCATCTCGCGGTTGTGCAACTTTCATTAGCCGGTTCGTGATTATTTTATTACCCGCCCACTGTGTAATTTTCGAATCTCTCTCTCCCGGCGTGCGAGGACGACGTTCGAACAAAGAGAAAGAAAATTTGAATTACCGCGAAGGCCGACGGTCGTACATGGTCGGTTAGAAGTTACCCGAATACGGTATACTCGATTAACCGTAATTAGTATATACGTGAAGACTTGCGGACTCGCGTGCTGCCAAATGCAGAAGTGTCGCACGTACATCGCGAATGCAATGGCTTCATAGGTAATGTCGGAATAATCTTCTAAAAGAATCTGCGAGGAACTACACACTGAGAAAAAAATAAGTGAAAATTTATTTGTGGGATATAAAGTTTATTTCTGCGAAATAAAGTTTACTTCTGTAAGACAAAATTTTTTTGCGAATAAAATTTATACTTCACAAATAAATTTTCATGTATTTTTTTCTAAACAATATTTATATTCATAAGCACTAATAACCTATTTACTTATATTAGTATAAAATATTTTTCAAATAGAAAAATATACATTTTCTTGAAATTTCAGTTAAAAACAATTAGTTATTCTATTTAAATAAGATAATTTACATACGGAGAGAATATTATATATATATATATATATATATATAATATTCTCTCCGTATAAATATTATCCGTATTATCTTATTTAAATAGAATAACTAATTGTTTTTAACTGAAATTTCAAGAAAATGTATATTT